GTTGAAATCAATCTGATTTTCCTCATAATTATAAATTAATTTTCTATAATATGCAGGATTCAGTGGAGGAATTTTAATTAAGCACTTTGAAATTTCACAGCCCGGTTTCCAGAGGAAGGCAGTCTTCCCGCAGTCTTGGCATTGGGGTGCAAGAACAGGAGAATGCTAACAATCCCTGCTAGCCGATAATCATTTGAGAGAGGAAGAATCAGGCAGGCCAGGCCATGGGATATCAGCCTTCCCTAGACCCTACAAACAAAGCTTCCAATGAATCTACGGGCACAGATATGCTTTTTATACTCCTGTTATACAGAAGTCTACTAAACAACATTTTCTAAAAAGAGAAAATGGTTTGGATTTTCTAGTTAATTTTGTTGGATGTTTTATTCTCTGAAATTGTGGTGGCCATAGATTTCCAATTGGCTGTTGCATATAAAAGTTTTTGAAATCCCTGGCATTCTCAAAGAGAAAAATTAATAATAAATGAATAAAATAAATGAATAAATAAGTAAATATGGCCACTAAGTCTCAGCACTAAGCTTGAGTGCATCGTCATAGCTTCAAAAGTTGTCTCACCAAGCTGTGAGGATAATGCACTTGGCTAGTCTATGAAACAGCTCACATTCTGATGTTATCTACAAGGATATTGTGAAAAATAAAGCAAGCCATGCATGGTGGTGCATGCCCTTAACTTAGCACTCAAGGTCGGCCTGGCCTATATAGCCAGTTCCAGGTCAGCTGGGGCTAAGTAGTACAGCACTGTCTAAATAAGTAAATAAATAAATACATAAGTACATAAATAAAAATAAAAGGCTAAAACCAAGCCAACAACAAAGCATAGACATTAGCTTATACCAGGTTCATGACATCATGACATTTAAGGACACTAATAGCTTAATGGTACAAGGAGAACAGGAAATCCTGTATCCATCCAAACCCAACCCCATCGAGCTGCACTCCTCATCTACCTGCAGTGCTCCCACAGTGCACTGGGGCTGACAGCCAGGGATGCTCTCCACTGACTGATCTCAGCTACCTCTGCTTCTCTTTCCAGTTTAGTGATTCAGAACATCAACCAGCTGTTGTTCCTCCTGTTATGTTGATGTTGGTGGGGGTAGAGTGCCTGTGAGTCCCTTCGCTGGGTTTTGCTGATGTGGGGTTATTTCCTATGTTTTCCTGGATGCAGTTGACCTCCTTGGGTTGGAGTTTTTCTTCTAATATCTTCTGTGGGCCTGGATTTTGGATAGGTACTGTTTAAATTTTTTTTTTTTTTTTTTTTTTTGCCATGAAATATCTTGTTTTCTCCTTCATGATGATTAAAAGTATTGTTGGGTATAATATTTGTAGCTGGCATCTGTAGTCTCCTAGTGTATGCAGGATATCTGTTTCCAGGCCCTTCTGGCTTTTAGAGTTTCAGATTAGAAGTCATGTGTAATTCTGATAGGTTTACCTTTATAGGTGACTTGGCCTTTTTCCCTTGCAGCTTTTAATATTCTTTGTTCTGTACATTTAATGTTTTGCTTAGGCTTCAAGTGGGTACTCTAATAAGGGAAGTGGGGACTGCATCAGACATGGACTCACTTGCTAGCTTTTTGATCACTTTCCTCTAGTGGCCTGGACACACTCAGTACTGATGCAACTTGATGAGCTGGGGTAGATGGGAAAGGGAGCTCCCCTTTTCTGAGGAAAGAGGGGAGAGAGGAAGAGAAAGAGGGTGGGACTGGGAGGGGAGGAGGGAAGGGGCTACAAGGATGTAAAGTAAATAAAATAAAAGACAGAAAAAAAGAGAACATCAACCACTCTTCACTGGGGTGTTAGAAATACAGGCAAGAAGTCTAGACTCTAAATGGTCCCACTGAAAATCTTGAGCCTAATCTAAACAGAATACTGACAGGCTGCTATGTTCTTTTCTTTTAATTTTAATCTTTATTAATTACACTTTATTCACTTTGTATCCCCCCATGGCCTCTTCCCTCCTTCCCTCCCCATCACATACTCCCTCCCCCTTCTCCACACATACCCCCTCCCCAAGTCCACTGATAGGGGAGGTCTTCCTCTCCTTCCTTCTGATCCTAGTCTATCAGGTCTCATCAGCAGTATCTGCACTGTCTTCCCCTGTGGCCTGGTAAGGCTGCTCCCCCTCAGGGGGAGGTGATCAAAGAGCTGCTATGTTCTTTATAGAACATAGTTCACACAGACTTTCAGTGGCAAAGCAGGCTTTGGCATGATACTTTCTTATTTTTAATCAATATGTGAAAATTAAGTTGGGAAAAGAGCCACATATTTTCAACATTCAAGAGTCATCTAGTTTTCTTGGGACAGCTGTTAATGACTGAAAGGTTATTAAACATGTGAGGTTTTCATTAACTCATATTTCTGTGCATGTGTTTCTGGAAGCATGTGTACAACAGCATCTATGCAGAGGTCAGAGGGCAACTACAGGAGTCAGTTCTCTCCTTCTATCATGAGGGTTTCCTGGGATCGAATTTCTCTTTTCTGATACCTTCACACTGAGCCCTCTCTCTGCCCCTTCATTATATTTTTATACATAAAATACGGTTTATTCATAAAATAAAAGTTTGAAGTTCTCTTAGTTCAACTTCTTTCCTCTTAGAAGTTATATCCGCAGATATACAAATCAAGGCCTAAAATGATGTAATTGTTAATATAAGGGATATCATCACAGCTATGGCTTCTTGCTAAATGGAGAAATGTTGCTAAGTGTTTTCTCCCCTTAATTCATCTGAGTGACATGTTAGTATATGTGAGTCCATACAGCTATTTTCACATACAGTCATATATTTGGCAAACAAGATGTTACTATGGGTCTTAATGGAGACCAAATAGTATATTCACATATGTATCCATTAATAAACTACACCAAAATTTATCCTGCAAGAAACAAAAATGCCCATCAAAAGAGCAAAGGCTTTTGAGAACTACACCCTAAAAATGCAACAATAAAAATGAATCCAGAGTACCAGCCAGGAAAGCTTTTCCTAGTATCTTAGAAAAATGTCAATAACAAAATTTAAAAGTAAGGTTAACCCTAGGACACATGCAAAAGTTAATTCCTTCCCAAGATGGTCTTAGTTCAGTTTTAACTAACTCAATTCAAATTCTAGTAATTTAAATAGGAATTAGAAGATAACCTTTCCACCTCCACTTAAAATCCTTTAAGTTAAACTGACAACACTGTGTCCAGCACATAGCAGAGTCTGATACACATTTAAAATGATCATCCTTTTTAAATCCTATTGCAAACTTTCCTTAGCAGGTGTCCAGAGATGACACTGCTGTAGTCACCAACATTAACTAGACAAAGATATGTAAAGAAATTCTAATGAGGATGACAGAATGAAACATTTCAAAAATTTAACAATGTTTGTTGTTCAGGATAAATAAAACTAGTTTACTCACCTAATAGATTTTTCTACTTATCTTCTCAACAAATATTTATTGAGAAAGTGCTGAACAGACCACATCACAGTTCTTTTAAAGCTAAAAGATGTGGTGGAAGACGATGAACAAAAACATAATCTCAAGTAGCAATTAAATGCACATAATAAACTAAACATTTAGTAGTTTAGATAATTGTGTGCTGGGGAAAAATCAGATAAAAGAGAACAGACAAACTTTATACCCTAAAATTTCAGAACCTGATCACCACAGCTGATGAAATGGCCCTGATTATGAGCCTGCACTGTCTTCATGACCCCCAGGGTTTAAATTGCCCATTGTCTGGACCACTTCAGACAATTCATTATTTATGGTTCTGCCTTACTGTTCCTTCTACATGTACAGACATTTTCATTAACAACAATCCTAAAGTCATTATTTTATTGATGTTTATAGTTCAAGATGTTTTGAATTAAAAATGAATTCAACATTAAGCAAAAGTGATTAGCTGGCAGTCTTCAGTGATTAACAGCATTATATTAAAAAAAATCTCTAAATGGAAACTAATCCTGGTAAATATGTAATCGTAAAGAATAAAACTAACTTCCTAAAACAGCTCTTTCACCTAGTACAAAATACATTCTCATTTCTGTGAATTAATGTGTTTTTGTGACTGTGGAATGGATGGTGGGATGAACAGCACAAAAAGGCCAAACTTAATTATGATTTCAACATCAGACAAACAGTTGGATTTCTCACTAGTCCAACAATGTATGCATATAGCAATGTATTTACCTATCATGATAATCTCCTGAGCTTTAAATAAATAAGCAAAATTATTTTGTTTAAAGATACTGCATTCTTGTGAGTGTTATGAAAGAATAATAGTTCATGTAAATATTTGATAACAATAGAAAAGTTAGGAAAATATTCTGAAATACTAAATTTTTGTAAGTATCAAACTTTTGAACTAACAAAATAAACTGAGCATTCACTGACCAAAAATTATGCAACAGTCTTTTTCAGTTAACATAGTTAACTGGAAGCTCTGGATCTACCTCTACTCTAACTGTATAGAATTTAGCAACTTAGCTCCATGCCTCACTTTCCTCATCTTGAAAATTAAGGCAACCAGACCTAGCACTCAGGGTTAATCTGGGAATCGAGGTCCAGGTAAGCACTTGACAACTGTAGTGGTTTGAAGTGAGAACGGTCCCCATAGGCTCATATATTTGAATGATTATTCCCCAGTTGGCAGAATTCTTTGGGAAGGATTAGGAGGAGTGGCTTTATTGATGGAGGTGTGGTACTGTCCATTTCTAGCTAGTGCTCTTCTTACTTCCTGCTTATGATAAAGATGTAAGTTCTAGTTACTGTCCCAGTGCCATTCCTGCCTTCCTGCTGCCATGCTCCCTGCCATGATGGTCATGGACTCTAGCACTCTGGAACTGTGAGCCCCAAATTAAATGCTTTCTACTATACGGTGTTTGGGTTATGGTGTCTTATCAAAGTAATGGAAAAATGACTTAAGAGAGCAATAAAGGATTCCTTTATTAGTGGTTAATTTTTAATGATGTTTCCCCAGACATGAATGAACTTACTTTGAGAAAGACTTGCAGATCTTGAGTCTGGGTGTGGTGAAGAATGTCTCGCTGCAGGTGTTTGAGAACAGCTATGCAGACATACACTTGATAATCAGGACCAAGTACAATACAAGTAGCAATATAATGGCATATTTCTATCCAATCTAAGTAATTCCAAAAACACTGAGTTATCCACTGTAGGCAAATCTTAAAAGAAAAAAAAAAAAGAAGTTTACTTGAAAGGAGTAAAAAAATTGCACTTGCTCATTAAAAAGTACTAAACAGTAACACATGAAACCAATTTTTAAAAAGCCTTGCATTTAAATAGAAATAGAAAGGCAATCCACCTAGTGACCTAAATATTCTGCTTTTCTTGTTTGCTACAACTGTAAGAAGACTCATGGTCTCCTGTTTCAGGAGCTAAGGACCTAATGCTGTCTGCCCTTCTCATGTCCCTGCTGCTATGTGCCTTCTTCTGACATACTGCTCTCCTCTCACTGCAAACACCTGTCTATTCTCTGCTAACAGAGTACTAAGAGGCTACCTGAGTTCAGAGGTATTGGTTGTTTCCATCCCATTGGTAATCACAGATGTATAATTATACAGATTGCAAAATCTTATATTAGTGAAAATGGACTCTTGCTGAATCAGAGAACAATTTAATCAGAGAATCAAACAGAATCAAAGTATGTATAATCTGGGAGCTAACACAGAATTCAAAAAGGAGATATTTTACAAAAAAGCCTTCCTTTTTTAACCCTTTAATTGGTATATCATTATTATGTATTTTGTTATATATTATTAGAAGGTGTATATTATTGTTGGAGTAGGTGTGGCCTTATTGGAGAAAGTGTGTCACTGGGGGTGGGCTTTGTGTTTTTAGATGCTCAAGCCAAACCCAGTGTCGCTTTCTCTTCCTGTTGCCTGCTGATCCGGATGCAGAAATCACAGATACTTCTCTAGTATCATGTCTGCCTGCATGCCACCATGCTTCCCTCCATGATGACAGTGAACTAAACCTCTGACCTATAATCTAGCCTCAATTAAATGTTTTCCCTTATAAGAGTCGCTATGGTCATAGTGTCTCTTCACAGCAACAGAAACCCTAAGGCATGTATTGACTACTCCCTCAAAAAAATTTCAGCAAAGGCCTTAATGCTTAGTACATGAAAATTTGACCTTTTTTGAAGGTAAGGTCATCACAAAAGTTCAAATTCATATCAGGGTGAGCCTTATATTCTTATAGAAGGAGAAATGTGCACAAAAAGACACACATCTTCCAAGAGAAGACACATGCAGAGAACAGCGTGGCTGGATACAGGTAGGATCTGAATAATTCAGGTTTAATGCCACAGGCTCCTCAGGAAACCAGAGCTAAGAGAGGAGCTTTGGGAGGAGAAAGGGGACAGATATGGTGGCTCATCTCAAGTTGACATAGGTATAAAGGATATAGATATACTTGTTCCTTTTGTTCTAGCACTTTGTCCTTCTGGAACTGTATTCTTCAGTTCTAAAAGGTGCTTTTCCTACCTCTTGCCAAATCTGATTTCCTGTGGCCTATGTGCTAGTTTGCTAGTTCTGCTGTAACAAAGAAACAGAAAATAGACAGGAAAACAATCAACTTTCTAATTTTTCTAGGGCAGTCTGAGGTCAAAGTGTTAGTGGGGCTGCTTTCGTCAGAGCCTCCTTTTCCTAGCATGACTGTCTTCTCCCTGACACATGAATGTTCACCCTCAGAGTTTGTCTTGTCCAAATGTCTTCTTACATGTTATACTGACTGGTCTGGAGCTACTCTAATGACACCATTTTAATGTAAATCCTTCTCAGACACCTTATATATAGTACAGGTGTACTCTGAAGCAATGGTTAGTACTTCCATTACTGAAGGAGACATGATTCATCTGTACCAGAGTGCATTATTGGAGTACTGATTTCTATAAATTACTACCATGTCAACCAGGGACCTTTAAATTCTAGTCAATAAGCGCACATTTTTTTAAATCTCAGCCTATGGTCATAATGTCTTTTGAAGTAATGCCAACCAAATGATGAATGAAAATTTAAGTATGTTATTATGTTATTAGCTATTTACACATTTAAATAATATTCAAGATCATAAAGAAGTAAGATCACTCATACAACATGCAAACTGTATTAGACTTTTCCTAAAAATGTTGATATTCTACCATACTTAAGTTTATGTTAGATGGAATTAACAAGCAATATAATATTATTTTACATGAAGTACATTATTCTTACTTGTATCTAGATTGCAAGAAAAATCAAGGGATCCAAAATATTAAAGTCTAAACAATTGTTTATGGATATAAAAAAAAAAAGTCAAAATGGTCTGATTTTCAAATGATCAACTAATTTACTCAATGACATTACTTTTAACAACTTTTCTGGCCTTACGTTATTTGTTTTCCTTACACAAAGAATTAGTAAAAACAACAACAACAAAAAGTAACTTAAGAATAAAAGTGGTTTTATAGCCAGGCATGAGGAATATAAACCTTAAATCTTGGCATTTGGGAGGCTGAGGCAGGAAGATTACTTCAAAGTAAACAAGTCTAGGTTACATAGGTAGACCCTGACTGAAGCCTTTCTTAGTGATTTCAATACAGTGAATGGATCTACATCATTCCTGAGTTTCTGCATTTGTCACATGATAAAATTTACAATGCCAAATGAATTACAATTGTCAAACACTTTCTCAAGAACAAACCATGATTGCAAATATGACATTATTATTGTTATACATCTGGAAGATCTGGTTTCACTGCATAATTTTACATTTTCAAAAAGTACTGTGTCATAAAACATGAAAGTTTTCCATAGTCTTGTTTTCATAATGGCAGTAGAAAGGAATGTTGATGATGATGATGGTGATGATGGTGGTGGTGTGGTGATGAGTACCAAATGCGGTTTCATGCACAGGAGGGTTAGTCAAGTTAGCCTGCTTCCCAAGACAGTCCCGTGTAATAATCAATGTTATGCCGGATGGTGCCCTCAAAGACTAAGGGCCCCATTAAAGACACAGGTGTTTTAAAAATCAGGAAAGTGCAGAAAATGGTAAGATACGTTGTTAGAAAAGGGTTAAGCTGTTGGAAAGTTAACTGGACTGTGATTTTACATTGCTTACTTAAAAAGAGAATGTAAATTAAGAGAATGTAAATTTCCGTATCTGTTCTCTTTCTAGTCTCAGTTACTCTGGGAAGGAATTCCAATCCACAAATGTGCTTTTCTAACCACATTTAGCTCAGTGTACAGTAGCGGAGCTTATTATTCTCACTCTGGAGATCTATATATTTCATTTAGCAACGTTCCTACAAATCCTTCACTAACTAGCCGAACCCCTTGTGTCTAAAAACACAGCTTCAAAAAGCACTGCTTCTAATTAGATCAAAATGAGTAAGCGTCGAAACACAAAATCCATACCCAAACGATGACTTAATCATATACACCTATTTAGTTACTTATACCTGATTTTATGCTTTATAATTAGTAATAAAGTGGTAAATAATCAGCCGAGCAGTGATAGGCACTTAAGACAAGTGATTAGCTTACAGTGAGAGCTACTGCAAGGCTTTTTATATAATTAACAAGAATAATGTCACTGCTCAGAAATAATACCCTATTAAATAAATGGATTACTTATATAAATACTTCTTTTATGTTTTTGTTTTGCTTGCTTGTTTATTTTTGAGATAGTAACCCAGTATCTCCCACTGTAACCCAGACTGGCCTAGAACTCACTATGTATCCCAGGCTGGTCTCAAACTCATGGCAATCCTGCTGCTTCATACTCCCAGATTGCTAGGATTGTGAATGTGAGATACCATGCTCAGGCTTTAAGCAGTTTTATACTGATGAAGCTATATAAGAGTTACTAGATATATAAAGTTGACAGATGAACATTTTTCTATTAAACAATAAATTGATAATGTAGGGCCTGAGATATAATAACCTCCCCATAATCTTTGGTAATCCATTGGCATATATATTAGGGACTTAAAAAAATGACTGGAAGCATTAAACAATATCCACTCTACTCAAAAGTAGGACAGCTAAAAGTAACTCTTAGGAACATTGCTTTCTGCACAGACTTTTAGAAGCTATGAAAAAGATCAAGTGTTAGAAACTATAATAATAAATAAATTGTGCTTTTTAAGAAACTTCATCCACACAAAGCTAAAATTTCTGTGATTCAAAGTTCAAGCAAATGCTTCATACACGAAAAGCTAAAAATGGTTACAAAGAATTATTCCTTCCCGCTGAATGGAAGTCTGAATTGTTTAATGAATACACAAAACTTACAGCCAGAAGAATACCTCACATAAGTGCATTTGATGAATGATGTGCTACTTATCAAGGTAAGTACAGATGCATATATCATGTCAAGAGGAGCTATTGTCTAATTAAGAGGGAGAGAGCTCTAGTCGGGTAAAGGAATGAGCATGCAGTTTACAACAAAGGAAACAGAGTGGATCCAATAAACCACGTGGCACAAAACGGATCCAATAAGCCACTGATTAAATTAATGCTCACCATAAGGAAAGCTGGCATAATTCTACTTGGTTAACTTCAAGTTGGATAAAGGATACGAAATTAAAGATAAGCCAAAAAATAGAAAACTTTTTCAAAAGTAATAGTGGATAAATTTTGGCAGTATGTAGTTATTGCCTAATGATAAAATGACCGAGTAATTATCAGTTTAAATTATAAAAAAATCCATATAAATATAAAAATATAAAATATAAATAATATGTGATATTAAACAATTGCAATTTAAACATATGGTTGGATGATGGGTAATTTTATAAAAACAAAGAAATAAAACATTTTGTTAAAAGTTGAAAATAGAAAATTAATGTTTGTAACTATATAATCTAATTAATATAAATGCATCCACTTACATTTTTCCAGTGAAGTTTTGTTAGTTTAAATATATATCCTATATTTTAGGGGAAGGCGTTTTTCTTTAAAGTCAGAGATTCAAGAGCTGAAGAATTGGTACTCTATTGGATTACCTGTGATGGAGCAAAACCAGACATGTGGAAGGCTGAAAACACAAGCGGCACCTCAGCCTTCAGTAGCATTTCAATGTAGTGAGTGCTGCAAAAATATATGGGATGGATGCCAGTTTCTAGCGTATCAACAGGAAGGTACCTCTGCATGAAAGAGAAGGGGAAAACAGTAAACACACAGATAATTTAGAATAATCAAACATATACACAGCTGAGTCTTTTGGCTTACGCAGTGTTTTTTCTGTTTTCAAATTTATACGGTAGATATGGATCAGATGACAGCATGCTTGCCTCTAATGCACAAAACCCAGAGTTTGATACCCAGAACCACATAAACCAAGTGTTCTGGGTGCAAATGGGTAAACCCACAAGTTTCAGAGGGTCTGCCTAGTATAACTGAGGTTTGAAGTTAACCAAGGCTAATTGAGACTGTGCCTCAATGAAATGAATTAAAATTTGAAAACCAATGAAATTTATAGGGTGGTGTCACACACTACAACAATTTTTTAAAATATGTAAATGTCAGGAAGTTAAACATTATAGAGTACTAAGCCTCAACAAAGGTAAGGTTGTATGTCTTTCCAAAACACAGGGAAAAGGGTAGTTTGTGATTCAGGAAACTTCAAAGCCTGTGGGTAAAAAGGGGAAAAGCTGCATGAAAAAAATTAACAATAAATGTGTGAGTATGAGTAATGGATTGCATATATTAGCCATGTCAACATAAACTGTACTGTTTAAGAGAGCTGGCCTTGGCCAGTGGGCCAGTGAGTCCATGCTAAAAAGCTTTAGTGAGCTGTTAAGTTCGTTTGCCTAGTTGTATTTCATTTGTTGATTTTAACGCGTATCTGGACTTGAACTGATTAGAACACAAAGTGAGAATTCCATTATAAACTCACTCCTAAGCCAGTGGAATGTACAGCATTTACTGAAAGGTTTTTCTGTTTTTCTGTGCGCACTACACTGGTTAGTAAATATATTCACATATGTACAAACAGTCTTCTCAACAGTGTGCTTATAAAGTTACCTAAGATTTTTCTGAGGGTGAGGAATGCAGAACAGTGGAAGGCTCTAGCGTAGCACACGTGAGGAGAAAAGTTCAATTCACATCTTTGACTTAAAAAATAGTTCATAGGTGCAATTCATGGTTGTGAATGTCAAGAATATTTTACTTGTTATGACTATGAGTTCAATATCAACATAAAATCATTATTATTTATAGCAAAGCATAAAAAACTCAAAAGATAAAAAAACCTCAAAATATGTAATTTTGTCAAGAAAAACTATTTAATGGCAATTAGATCAAGCAGAGGTGACCCAACCCTGATGACTCTACAATTAATAGATGGTCAAAAGATATTTTATTGTCTTAACTTTACCTTATATTTCAATCTCCCAATCTTATTTAAAATTAAAAAAAAAATCATGCTCTTAGATAAAACTCATAAAATTACAAAATGGTTAAAATATGTATAGAATCTTCCAGACTTGTTGCTTTAATGGTTTTGAGGATTTAGTTAGGTTTATGTAATGAAGTTTCTAAAATCACCACATTGATTTATCAATGATTTTCATTTTTTGTCACTTAGCACAAATGATTTATTATTTCAAATTATATATATTTATTTGCAGGAATAAATCAGTGTAAATACTGTGGGTTTTATGACAGGTTCTCTAGGAAATCTTGTGCATAAAATGCTTCAATATTGATGAAGACATAGCACATTAAGTGGACATCTTATGGTCACTTTTATCAAGAGAACATGGAGAAGATTTTCTATTAAATAGAGTACAGATTAATATCCATTGCGTTATGACTTGTCAAGCACAAAATATGTTTCACTGATTATTTACATAAATTTAACAAACATAAAAATCAAAGATTAACTTACACATTTACATTTTCAATGTGAACTTACTAATTTTCTATTTTATCTATAGAGGCAGTTTAAGAATTGAATACACTGAAACTAATTCGTACATAGCATCGTTCTATGTTGTTGCAGAAATACCGCTAGAGCTGGTCTATGAAGAGCTACAGTACACATGAATTACACCATCAAAGAAAACAAGCTATCATCATGTAATGCAGTCCCAGAGATGAGAAGAGCTCCCCTATTCTCATAAATCATGCACTGCCAGAAGAACCTTAAATCACACTCTTGATAACCAAACAGCTCCAGATACCATACTGGGCATATGTAAAATTGACTAAATAGCAAGATTCTAATGACTGTAGTTATTATTACCATAAATTCACTTATAATTAAAGAGTTCTAGCTTATCTACGTATCACAGCTCTCATAAATGGTGAATGGTATCCATAAAGCCAGAAGAATAAAAACAAATTGTTCGTATGAATATAACAAGGGGTCTAATGAACCATCAAACTATAATTTATACATTTAGAATTTTATATATTTTGTTCAAATATAACATCTTTTTCTTTTTTTTTAATTATGAGGCTCACATTCATATTTTAATGACCTCTAACAGTTTATCCAGATATCTTGCAGATTCCAAAGTGACATGTATTGATTTTTTTTAAAATTTTTTATTAATTACACTTTATTCATTTTGTATCCCCCCATAAGCCCTTCCCTCCTCCCCTCCCTATCCCACCCTCCCTCCCCTTTCTGCATGCATGCCACTCCCCAAGTCCACTGATAGGGGAGGTTCTCCTCTCCTTTCTGATCTTAGTCTATCAGTTCTCATCAAAAGTGGCTGCATTGTCCTCTACTGTGGCCTGGTAAGGCTGCTCCCCCCTCAGGGGGAGGTGATCAAAGAGCAGGCCAATCAGATTATGTCAGAGGCAGTTCCTCTTCCCATTACTATGTAACCCACTTGGACACTGAGCTGCCATGGGCTACATCTGTGCAGGGGTTCTAGGTTATCTCCAGGAATAGTCCTTGTATTGATTTTTTTTAATTCTTTATTAATTACACTTTATTCACTTTGTATCCCTCCTGTGGTTCCCTCCCTCCTCCCGTCCCAATCTCTCCCTTCCTCCACCCTCTGCATGCACGCCCCTCCCCAAGTCCACTGATAGGGGAGGATTTCTTTCCTTCCTTCTGATCCTAGTCAATTAGGTCTCATCAGGAGTGGCTGCATTGTCTTCTTCTGTGGCCTGGTAAGGCTGCTTCCCCGAGGGGGAGGTAATTAAAGAGCAGGACAATCAGTTCATGTCAGAGACAGTCCCTGTTCCTATTACAATGGAACCCACTTGGATACCAAACTTTTTTTTATTCAGTGAACATAAATTCTAATGGCACTTGAGGTCAAATAAGTACAGAGAGTAGGTTAATTTTTAAAAAGGCAGTAAACGAATGGCTTAGAAGATACTAGTCTATGACAGAATGTGAAACAAAAGCCTTATAATATAACTTTAGACTTTCATATGCTAATGGTTAAAATAAAAGACATACCCTTCAAAATGGAGCAGAGCAATCTTAGTGTTTTACTTTCACCTTAGGTAATTCTGTTAGGTCATTTTATTCCTGAAACTACGAAAAGCCGAGTTTTGTGTTGTAAAAAAAGTTAAGTAGATGAGGCATCTAAATATAAGTTTTACATAGAATTATGGTGTTGAATGAATTTTCTTTCAATACACACTCACACATATACATAATCATAGTATAATATTTAAGTCAGATTAGGTGTAGCTAAATACTCAACATTTATCATTGATGTGTGGTAAAAACATGAGTTTCTTTAGCTTTTGAGATCAATAGTATATAATTATCTACAGGTTTTGCATGCATGCTACAATTTATTTCTTATATAAATCTTTTTTCTTTTTTATATTTAGATGCATCATTTAAAAATAAAGAAAAGGAAATAAATGTAACCATCATTCTAGTTTTCAAAATATAATTATATTCTAACTGAAACAATAATATGGAACACAGAATGTGAAGGTAACTAGAAGTTAGAAGTTAAGATATATTTTTTTAATAAAAGAAAATATAAGTATGAATTTTTTAAAAAAAAGTTAAGTAGAACAATTGTATTAGAAAAATTTAAAGGTTTCCAACCCAACAGAGACTGATACAGTATAGTTCATTCCACTCCTTACCTGAGTCTCCACAGGCAGAGGATCAGCCAAGCTTTTAAGGTATAATATTGCTTGTTAATTTGCACAAAATGGAAAGGAATACAGAGAAAATTTAAACATTTCTCAGAACTTTGATACTATAAAACAGGAGCATTTCACAAGCAAATATATTTTGTATGGCTGACTTTCGCAGTTGCCCCACAGGTGGGTTACAGGTATACCCTCGTGATGTGCTTGTCCCTGCAGGTGTTCAAATTCTATTAGCATTTTAACACTGCAATTTTTTTCAACACAAAGTATTTAATAGGGGCAAATGAAGCGCATGTACAGTTACAATATACAGCTGTCTGCCAGGACTGTTCTACTTCATCTGAGTACTTCTTTAGTATGGTTTAACATCTTTACAATAAAAGATCTTCTGGAGGTATCTCCATCCTTGATCTCAAGCTGTACTATAGAGCAACAGTACTAAAAACTGTATGGTACTGGCATAGAAACAGATTGGTGGATCAATGGAATCGAACAGAAGACCCAGAAATAAACTCACACACATATAGACACCTGATTTTTGACAAAGATACCAAAACCATAAGGAAAAAAAAAAACAAACAAAAAACAAAACAGCATCTTCAACAAATGGTGTTGGCCTAACTGGATATCCACATGTAGAAAGTGCAAATAGACTCAGTCCATCACCCTGCACAAAATTAAAGTCCATGTAGATCAAAGACCTCAACATAAAACCAGACACACTAAATCTGTTAGAAGAAAAAGTAGGGAAGAGCCTCGAGCTCGTTGGCACAGGAGGCTGAACAGAACACCAACAGCACATGCTCTAAAATCAACAATTAATAAATGGGACCTCATGAAACTGAAAAGCTTCCATAAAGCAAAGGACACTGTTATCAGAACAAAATGACAGCCTACAGACTAGGAAAAGGTCTTCATCAACCCTACATCTGACACAGGCCTAATATCCAGAATATATAAAAAACTGAGGATGTTAAACACCAACAAACCAAGTAATCCAACTGAAAAATGGGGTTCAGAGCTAAACAGAGAATTCTCAACAGAGGAATACCAAATGGCAGAG